CAGGTGGAACAGAGGGTGGAGCAGAGGGTGGAGGAGAGGGTGCAAGCTCTTCGGAGTGAAATGGAAGTCGAGATGGAGGCTCGATTGGCCGAAATAGAAAGGAGAAACCAAGAGAGGTATGGTGAGATGATGCGTCGATTCTCCAGCAACAACCCATGTTCCAACATTCCACATCAGAGTCGAGACCCCACGAACGACCCGGGTAGCGGCGGTGCTGGCAGGGTACTCCGGCTGTAGCTTAGAATTTGTGTATATAGTATGTACATGTATTTAGATTTGGATTATGTTGTATAGTTGCACACAATGTATACATTATTATAAATATATAAAAATATTTCCGTAATTAAATCATAAATTCAAATTTATCTTAAATTAGGTGCAGGAGATATAGGTCTCGAATAGTGGTAAATCCAAATTAAATCGTTTAATCTACTAAATTAACAGAACTAATTCCGACGGAATAATCCGTCGGAAGCTCTTACTTTCCGACGGAATTATTCCTCGGAATCTTCTCCTCTTCCGACGGAATTATTCGTCGCAATCTTCTCCACTCTCGACGGAAAATTTCGTCGGAATCTTCTCCTCTTCTGATGGATTTTTCCGTCGGAACATGTCCTTTTCCGACGGATTTTTCCGTCGGAACATGTTCATTTCCGACAAAATTTTCTGTTGGAAGAGGGAAGATTCCAACGAAATTTTTCGTCGGAATTTTTTTTCGACGGAATCATTTTCGTCGGAAAATTGCGATGGAATCTCGTTTAAAGTCAAAACCAGCTCCGACAGAATGGATTCCGTCAGAAAAGTGGCTTCCAACGGAATTTTCCTCGGAAAACGTCGAATTTCCTACAAAGGGTTTTGCGACAGACTAATTCCGACGGAATTCCGTCGAAAGGCCGTTTTCCGACGGATTTTCCTATGTTTCCAACGGAAAATTTCCGTCGGAATCCAGCTGTTTTCTTGTAGTGAAAAACCCTAATTTATAAACCCTAGAATTTGATAATGTAATGTATATGGTTAGGGTTTAATCCTAGGTTGTTGTTATTGTTTAATTAATGGTTTAAACATGTTTTTAATAAGTTTAAAACCCTCAAATTAATGGTAGAATTTAATTATACACACTACTTTTTAATTATTTTGTTAGGGTTTGATTACCCATAAAAGGGGAAAAGGTTTTAATGATTTAAATATGATTTCATCTATTAGTGATGTTTTATATTAAATAAGTGTGCTGAAATTTTATTTAAGTCATAAAAACTAAGTCTTTTTAAAAGGATGTTTTTAAAAGGTTTTATGGATTTTATGTCATTAAATTGGGTTGATTAGTAAGGTTTAAAGTAGGGGTGTACATAAAATACCCGGATCGGATATCAGACTGGAAGATTTAGGTCCATTAGCAGTCTGCGTAAACCAGTCCAATCCGGTTCAGGTTCGGTTCGGTACGGATATGGACCAGTGTTCACTCCTAAGCTAGAGGTGTACATAAAATACCCCGGGCCGGAAGATTCAGGTCTATTGCCGGTCCGCGTAAACTAGACCAATCCGGTTCAAGTCCAACCCGGTTCCAATTCTGGTCCGGTTTGGTCCGAATCTGGACCTGTATTCACCCCTAGTTTAAAGTGTATTATAGTTGCTGGAAATTTGTGAGAATAGTGCATTAATTTTAGTTATGTATTCTTAATTGTAGGAAGCTTCGAGCTAGGTGATTTCTAGCGAGTGTGGCAGAGTTTAGGCATTATTTAAGGTAGGTATGTACACAAGAATTTGTGTATGCGTAGTATCATGCTAGGATTGTAAAGTATGACTTAAGTGATGAACTAGTAGCATGTTTGGTTGATTATATGCTTGGAATTGATGTTGGTTGAACATGAATTGTTATGAAAGCATGTGAATATATCATTTGAGGCATGATACAAGTTGAATATATATGAATCATGGAAGTATGTTTTATTTTCAAGTATCAAGAAAGCATGAATTTGATAAGCAAGGCTTAATTATGTTTAAAAGCGCTAAAATTAGAATTATTGAGCATGATTTATGAATTTTTCTCACCCATTTATTATTGGTGGTGAGTCAAGGAGTTAATTTATTTATTTACTCACTCATGTAAGTTGAGTTCGAGTTAGGGAAGTTTAGTAGTGCATATTATGCACCAAGGTAGTAATCGTGCAATTTTGTGCACAAAAATAGGCAATGAACCTTAATTAAAATAAATAGTATATGCTCACTAATTAATTCAATAATGAATTGGAAGTATGTGTTGATTGTTGCAATGTTTGTTCTTGATTGATTGGTTAGAGTCATCACGTAAAGTGTAAGAGGATACGCACCAAAACTCTTGGAACGTATATACCTTGAGTATGAACATATGGGGGGAGTTATGGGGTTTTATATTTAACTATAGATTCTACAGGGATACAGGACGCTGTACTTTATTTTATTATTAATGCGCTAGAATTTCGTCACAAGTGTGACATAGTAGGTGTCGGTTGGGGTAGCTCCCTAATTGGATGCTCCCTGTTTAATGGGCTATTTTTAAAGGAAGGAAACTCGTTCGATGCGTACTCTAAAGCTATTATTTAATAATTAATATTGCTAGTTATGAGTCAAAGGTAAGTTGACTTGTGATTGTATGGCGAGCATGTTTTAATTATTTTATTTGATGCTAGGATATTCATGTTAGTGTGGTGCATATGTACTCAGCTTTTGCTGATTCGTACTTTTGTGTTTGTGTTTGACTTTCCTTTGGATTGACCCTACTATGACCAATTTATATGGTGAGTAGAGGGGTTTAAATAAAGAGAAAGTAACAGGTACTTGAAGCATGAAGAGCATGATGGGAATGAGTGCAGAAAGTTACTTGTTATGTTTCTTAGTTTTGATATTTTGAATTATTGGTTATTGCTTATGGACTAACATCATTGTGTTTATTTTTAATTGATTTTTAAGAAAAGCCATGTTTGAATTGGTTACAACTTGTGACTACTTAATTCTACGTTTGTTTTGAGGTTGTGAACTCAAGTTTATTTTGAAAGTTGGTTTTTTATTTTTTATTTTTTTATGTTTTAGACTTCCGCTGTGTGACTTTGAAAATTAGCCTTAGCCGTTATCACGGTGGCGGTAATATTTTGGTTCTGTCCTAAGAAGAGTTTTATTTAGAGTAAAATGAGTGTTTTAAAAAAAGGAAATTTCCAGGGTATTACAAAGTGGTATCTGGGAGATTTGGTTGGATTTTAATTACCACTAAAGCCAAAAACGTTTTGCTTAGGTACCTATGTTTTAAAGCTTGGCCAAGTGCTTATTTAATCAAGTTTAAAAATATTTTTAAGAGGTCCGATTGTTTTTACAAAGGCCGAAAATTTCTTTTCTTTTCTTTATTTATTTGGTCCGAATTTTTTTAAATAATAAGGGCCGATTTTTTTTTTATTTATGGGGATCCGATTTTTTTTTATTATTTTCGGACAACTATTTTCGAAAATAAAGTTCATTTTTTTATTAAAAAAAAAAAATTATGTGTGCAGGTATGCGAAGGAATTAAAGTATGTAATTATGAGTTAATTGCTTTTGAAAGCATGTAGTGAGATTGGGTAGGAAAGAAAGGGCATATAGGTTAGAATTGTATGTCTTCCTATGTGCATATTTTATTTATGTAAGGTGTTCAAGCATGTTGTATGATAATATGTATCTAAGTGAAAGCATGTTTATGTGTAATAACATAAATTGTATGATTGAACACCAAACTTAAATTTTTGCAAGGAACTGTATACTCGATTGAAAAGAAATTTTTCTTTATTGAGTCATAACCCGAAATACCTTGCAGGATGTTTGATTTACCTAGTAGATTCACTACCACGGGTACTTTAGTAAAGAAGGACTATGAGCATGTGTGGGATTATATTCGCAGGATTCGCTTTTACTGTACTTATAGATCTGATGTGTTTGGGGAGCGTCATCTTGACCAACTAGACTATGCTTCTACCATGATTGTCCATTGTTTGCCTAACTATCCTCCCTATGAGGCTATTAAGAGTCGCTTTCGTGATTTTCATTTACCTAATGGTGTAGCTAACTATACTAAGTATAAGGACTCTAGTGGTCAGTGGGGAGCAGATTGGAGATATTTGTACCATTACATTGCTCACAAAGAATTCATTTACGTTAACCCTCAATATGCTTCTTATCCTCCTCCTTACCATAATTTTGGCGATCCAGCTCCACAACAAACTACACCTTATTATTCTTCAGAAAACGATGATCCCATACCTGAGCAAACTTATAAGAGTCAAGGTGAGCCAATGGAGCAAGATAATGAGTCTGGGGATAATTCATGCAAAGTCATTCCTAATCCAAATCCTCCAAGCCCTCTAGTAATTATTCACTTAGAATTTGATGAGTCTCACAAAGACCTTGAGGAAGAAATGGATCCCGAGGAAGATGATGATGATGGTGGTGGCAATGATGGTGATAATGGGAGTGATCATGAGTATAATTTAAAGAAGTACAAGGAGATAAAAGAAAAGATTGACAATGTCAACATTTGAACATTTTAGACTAAATTTCTTTAGTGTTTTGAGTATTTATTTCATTCTTTATTACCAGTTACAGTTTAATAAAGTATTGCGTGAGTAATAAGTAGCAAAGCTACATTTGGATCATTCCAAACATTTCTTTTCAGTATTTCAATAAAGTATTATTTATCCTTTTTATATTTATTTTAATCTTCAAACAACATTATCAAACGTCATTTATTACTTTTATTTTTTGTAAATGGTATCAAGGGAAATGACTCAAAAATATTTTTGTGATGTGTTTACTTAAGTGAAATGATTGCATGACAACCATACAATGTGTTGAATTATTAGTAGGAGAAATGAGTAGTTGCTTCTACTATAATTCAAAATGACTGCTTGCATGCTTGAATTAAAATAGTTTGGTTGTTGTTTAGTTACAAGAGAGTTGTGACCAACCTAATAGTTGTCATTTCTTTATTCAGAAGGACTAGGATGGTAGGAAGAAACAACAATAACAATGATCTGAATAAGGTAGTAAGGCAATTAGCTACTGTAGCTCAACAGTTAGCTGAAAGGAATAACAATAACAATCCTGACCCTACTAAGGAGTTGTTTAAGAAGATAGCCCAAAGCAAACCTCTTACCTATTAGGGAGAACCTGACCCAATTGTCCTTGAAAACTGGTTGAGAGAGTTTAACAAGTTGTTTGTGGCAGTAGCATGTCCTAATGAGTCCAAAGTGAGTAGTGTAGCTTATTACTTAAGGGGTGAAGCAGATCTGTGGTGGCAGCAGAATGAACAAGCTGTGAGAGCATTACCTAAATTTGGATGGAATGTGTTCAAGGAGCAAGTGAGGGATAAGTTCTACCCTATATTCTTGCAAAAGCAGAAAGCTGATGAGTTCCTGGAACTTAAGATGGGGAGTATGTCGGTGACTAAGTATTACACTAAGTTTGTCGAGCTATCTAGGTTTGCTGAAGATACTGTGGCTACTGATAGGCAGAAAGCTAGAAGGTTTGAGAGGGGATTGCCTCTTTCTCTCCAAAGCAAGTTGTCAGGGACAAGTGTTTGATACAATCTGGATGAGTTGTGTGGTAGGGAAGCGCATTTACATGCGTTGGAGTTGAAGGAGAAATCTGAAAAGACTGAGTTGGAAGCTAGGGAGAAAAGAAAGGAGCCTATGACTAGTTTTGGACCATCTGGGAACCAGAATAATTTTAAGAAGCAAAAGTTTAACAACCACCAAGGTAATAACTTCAAGAACAATAGGAACAACCAAGGTGGGCGCAATTTTCCTAAGGGAAATAGGAACCAGCCTCGGCTTCGTAACCAGAGGATATATTACTGTAAGAGATGTTCCAACAACCACCCAGGGAAAGATTGTGAGGGTACCTTAGTCACTTGTAACCAGTGCAACAAGCAAGGGCACAGGGCATATGAGTGTTTATCTAAGAATAAAGGGGGTCAAGGAAACAACCAATTTAAGGGTAGTGGACAGAATTGGAATCAGCAAAAAGGAGGTCAGGGTAGCAATGGGAATCAAGTGAACAAGGGGGCGCAGTTTCAGAATGGAAATGAGAATACAATAGTGGTAACACACAAGGAAAGGGTGGAACACGAGGAAAGCTTAATGTGATAGGTTCGTGTGAGGCTGACGCAGCGAGAGATGTCATTATTGGTGCATTTTCTATAAACTTAGTTCTTATTAAAGTTTTGTTTGATTCTAGTGCAACATATTCTTTCATTTCTAAAGCTATGCTTCCAAAACTATCGCATTGTCTGAAAACTGTAGATGACATAGATACCCCTTTAGAAATTCCAACTGGGGGTGTAGTCCATTACACTAGGGTTTATAAGGATGTTCCAATAAAGATTAAAGGTAAGGAATTCCTATCCAACCTGATTAAATTTGAATTACGAGACCTTGATATAATTCTGGGAATGGATTGGTTATGTAGTTATCATGCTGAGATTCGATGCAAGTCACAGAAGATCCACTGAAAACGGCTCAGGGAGAGCTCGTAACCCATTGGAGGAATGGAAAACCTAGGCTTACTAAGATCATTTCTGTGATGAAGTTGGCAAAATATATGAAGAAGAGAAACCCAATCTATTTCTGTAGTGTGAGAAACTTGGAGTATGAGGAACCATCTAAACCAAAGGATATTGAAGTAGTAAAGGAGTTTCTAAATGTGTTTCCAGAAGAGATTTTGAGTATGCCTCCAATAAGAACCATAGACTTAATACTTGGTACATAACCTATCTCTAAGGCACCATACAGGATGGCGCTTGCTGAGATGAGTGAATTGAAAAGTCAATTACAGGATTTGTTGGAGAAGGGATACATACGACCAAGTGCATCACCATGGGGAGCTCCTATATTGTTTGTAAAGAAGAAAGATGGTAGCATAAGGCTATGCATCGATTGTACGGAGTTAAACAAGGTAACTATAAACAACAAATACCCTTTGTCTAGGATAAATGACTTGTTTGACCAATTCAAAGGTGCAACAATGTTTTCTAAGATTGATTTGAGGTCTGGATATCATCAACTACGGATTGCGGAAGAGGACATTCCGAAAACGACATTTAGGATGAGATATGGACATTATGAGTTTACAGTAATGCCTTTTGGGTTGACAAATGCACGTGCAATTTTTATGGACTTAATAAATAGAGTGTTTCAACCTTTCCTAGACCAATTCGTTGTGGTATTTATTGATGATATTTTGGTTTATTCAAAGAATGAAGAGGACCATGCAGTGCATTTGAGATCAATATTAACTACTTTAAGGACTAACCAGTTGTATGCCAAATTCTCCAAGTGTGAGTTTTGGCTGGAGAAGGTAGCATTTTTGGGACATTTTGTATTTAAGAAAAGAGTGGAGGTAGATCCTGCAAAGATTGAAGATGTGAAGGGGTGGCCTACACCCAAGAATGTGTCGGATATTTGAAGCTTCTTAGGCCTAGCTGGATATTATAGGTGGTTTGTGAAGGATTTTTCAAAGATAGCTAGACCTATGACTTCGTAGATGAAGAAAGAATCTAAGTTCATTTGGAGTGATAAGTGTGAAGAAGCGTTTCAAAACTTGAAGAAGAGTTTGACTACAACACCAGTGTTAACTTTACCTGATGGGAGTGGTTCTTATGATGTATATAGTGATGCATCTAAGAACGGAATTGGGTGTGTTTTGATGCAAAATGGGAAGGTGATTGCTTATGCATTTAGATAATTGAAGAAACATGAAGTTAACTACCCTACTCATGATCTAGAACTGGCAACGATAGTGTTTGTGTTGAAAATATGGAGACATTATCTATATGGAGTGAAATGTAGGATATTCACAGACCATAAAAGTCTGAAGTATCTTTTCACGCAATCAACCTTGAACATGAGACAACGTAGGTGGCTAGAATTCTTCAATGACTATGAAATAGATATCTAATACCACGAAGGTAAAGCGAATGTAGTCGCGGATGCTTTAAGCCGTAAAGCAACTCATGGGGTGAATGCTTTGGTAGCGGCAGATGAACTTTGTATGGAAATGAGTAAGATGAACTTTGAGGTAGTACCACATGGAACGTTGGAAGGAATGCTTTATAATTTGAGTATCCAACCAACGATATTCGATGAGATTAAGGATAACCAAGTAGGGGATATGAAATTAGATCGCATAAGGGAGAAGATCAAGCAAGGGAAGGCGACTGATTTTAAAATCCATGATGATGCGAGTATTCCATTCAAGGGGAGGTAGTGTGTACCATAAAAGTGTGAGGAGTTGAAAAAGAAGTTGATGGAAGAAGGGTACAATGGTACAATACATCCAGGAGGAGATAAGCTTTACAAGGATTTGAAAAAGATGTATTGGTGGCCTAAGAAGAAGAAGGAAGTAGCAGAGTTTGTAGCCAAGTGTCTAACCTATCAGAAAGTTAAGTTAGAGCATAAGAGACCGCAGGGAGCAGTACAACCACTCGAGATCCCGGCTTGGAAGTGGGATTGCATCTCGATGGATTTTGTCACTAGCTTACCTAAGTCTAAGAATGGGAATGATAGTATCTGGGTTGTGGTGGATAGACTTACAAAATTGACAGTGTTTATACCAATGAAGGAGACTTGGAAAATGGAGCAACTTGAAAAGGCTTACATAAAAAATGTTGTGAGGCTACATGGAGTTCCTAAGATATCGTTTCTGATAAGGATTTTAGGTTTCTTTCAAAATTCTGGAAAAGTGGTCAGGAAAACTTTGATACGATATTTAAGATGAGTACATCATTTCACCCTACAACAGATGGACAATTTGAGAGGACTATCCAAACCTTGGAAGATATGTTAAGATCATGTGTGTTAGATTACCAAGGTGGACGGGAAGATAGCTTAGACTTGATAGAATCCTCTTACAATAATAGTTAACATGCGAGCATTGGCATGGCACCATTTGAGGCCTTGATCCCCGGATAATAGGTCATGTCTAATATCCTAAATCAAATCAATAATTTATAATCCTAACCTTTCTCTATCAAGTTTACACTAGATAGTGGCAAGCTAAGGTCGAACCATAAGGAAACGGGGTAATGCACAATCAAAGTGGAATTAAGAATCTATTGCAAGTAACAAGGGGTATTTTCATTTTTTTTGTGATTTTCAATGATCAAATTAACTACTACAAATGATAAAAGCAACCAAATTAAGAAAGTTCAAACTAGAAACACTAAAATAAGAATGGAAAACTAGATTTGAGAGAAATATGATCAAAACACTAGGGAGAGGGGGTTCCAATCATGATCAACTAAGACAACAATGATAATCAACATGGATTCATGCCAGGGAATACAAATTCTACTCAAATAATTCATTCCCATGCAATTTCTCAAGCAAATTGATGAATTAGATCAAAACTAAACTAGCTCATTCCCATGCATGTAATTTAAAACTCAAATATTGGAATTAAAGGTACACATCAATAACTCCAAGCAATTTAAGAACAAAATCATCAACTCAAGGCTAAATCCAATCAATCATCAATATAATCCCAATCAACCATGATCTTCACCCTCTTCCCTAGCTAGAAATCTAAGCTAGAGAAGAGAAAATAGCCATCACAACTACACTAAGCATGGATTCAATCTTAGCAAAGCTAAACATGATTCAAATTCAAAAGGTAAAGCAATCAATCAAGTAAAATGAAGGAAATAGATGGAAATGAACACTATCAAAAGCAATTAAATTAAAAAAAAGGGAGAGAGTAAAGAGATTACTACTATGAAGCTTGATTGATGGAGAAACATGAAATACTTGCATTGAATTGAAGAAAACTTGAAGGAATCTTGATTACAATGATGAAACTTGAAGATTAAGAAACTTTCTCTCTCTAAAATACTAGAGTTTCTCTCACTACAAAGTTCTAATTATAATTGGAAAAATAGGATCATTCATAAATTCAAGAGAAAGTCTATTTATAGAGCATCAAAAATCCAAAAATAATGAACTAAGGAGAGACCTCTTGAGCAAGGCCGCACCTTCTCTAAGCTGGGTACGGAACTGCAAAACCCAGGAAGCCGCGCCTACGGCCTAGCATGCCGCGCCCACAGTGGTTGGTGGAGAGGCCATTTTCAGCTGGGGAGAGGCCGCGACTGAGGAGCGGGGGAAAACAGGTCCTCGAGATGCTGCGCCTGCGGCCTGAAGTGTCGCGCCCGCGGTAGACTGGAAATAGCCCTCCCCAGGAGCACGACCAGCCTTCCACAGGTTGCACGAGGTTTTGCTAAACTTGAACTCCGCGACCACGACTTTTGGGACCGTTGCGCGCCCTCTCTAAATTGCCATCTCTTCCTCTCCTTGACCTTCATAGCTCGCCATCTTTCCTCCAAAGGCAATAAGAACCTACAAAACAAAGACTAAAATGCTATAAAGCACAAGAAAAGCTCAAAGGAGAGGAAAATCACGAGAGAAAACAAAAATAACCAAAACAAAGGTAAAAACGGCTAGAGAAGGCGCAATCAAGCGACAAATGAGGGAAAATTATTAGTAAAAAGGGTTGAAATAGTGGCATAAATGCCACTCATCAAAATCCCCCACACTTGCCTCTTGCTTGTTCTCAAGCAAAACTAAGAGATAAGAGAAAAAAAAGCAAACACTACAAAGACTAACACAACATGGCAAGGCTTAGGAAAACTGATGAAGTTTTAGGGTAGAAAATGCTCCATTCGGACTCAAAAGAAAAGACAAGAGCCAAAGAATACTCACCTTTCTCAATTAAACGAGGGAAAACACGTTATAAGATGCTCATGGTTGAAAGAGACAAACCTAAGCTAAGCATAGAGAACTGGTGATTTCATTCTCCGCCCTTGTCCCATCCAAAACGGTCCGCGTTCTCCCCACTAGCTTCAAATCCCCCCCTAGTTAGCTCCCATGATTCCACGAAGGAACCGGAAAAAGATACAATTTTGTGGAAACATAAGGTCATCCCGACATCTCAACTATGCATACTCTCTCCATAGGGTTGAAATCCATCTCCCTCCACCGGTCTTTGACCTCAGCCTTCTAAAGTCTAAGGGTCTTTACTAGCGTTGTAATGTCATGGCTAGAGGTATAGGTAGGGAAATAATTTGAAAATTTGGTGGCAATTCCTAAGTGAAGCAAAAGAGTGGTCAACTTTGAAAAACAAACTTAAGAAAACAACCAAAACTCAAACAAACAACCATCAATTCAATTTCACTACATTACCACACTTATTCAAGCTAAGGGAAAAGAACTTCAAAGCTTTCTTTTTTTATAATTTTTTTTCATTATTTTTTATTTTCAAAAACTCTTATTTGGTGTCCTTGCCTTTTTTTTTTAACTATGGACGACTTTTTCTTCATGAAACTTCATTTGATTTTCTTGAATTGCATCTTTCTTTTCAAACTTTTCTTGCATATTCATATTCAAGCTCAACTTTCAATTCCTTACTTAAACCAATTCTCAAAGTGCTTCTTGTTCATATTCAACACGCTCAAAACTCAAACCTCACATGCCAAATGCTTCACTAATTAAGAGGGTTGGTAAAACATAGGCCATTAGGTTTCTAATGTGGTTGAGACAAGAAAGAGAAACATTACGCGGACAAGATGAATTTGGAGATCATCCTTTGAAACCTGTAGAAGGCTGGCCGCGCCCTTGGAGAGGGCTCTCCCCAGTCACCCGCGGGCACGACATATAAGGCTGCGGGTGCGTCTTTTCGAGGCTTTGTTTCCCTTGTTTCCTAGACAATCGTGGGCGTGG